TTAGGTCAAGAGTGGGACAATCTTTTCCCGGAAGTGCCGATTCTCTCACACACACACACACACACACACACACACACACACACACAGAGGAGATGGCGGAGAGAACGCGCTCCGAGGTGTGGTTAAACTTTACCCGTCTCGATGTGGACAATGCTCGTAGCATGTCAGGGCGGTAACACGAGCAATGTGTCTAAACATTTATCAAAAGTGCTCCACATCCAGACGGAGGAACGCACCGGGTTCCACTATCTGTTAAAGTTTCAGATCCAATGAACCCGCCCTGGTGCTGTTTGTTTTGAAGTGAAATTTGTAAATGTTGTTTGTTTAGTTAATTTACCTTTTTCTTTTTCTAAAGAACCGATAAAAGTACCGTTAAAGACCGGATTGATAAAAGTAGTAGTACCGTTAAAACCTTAACGATACCCATCCCTACTCATTCCCTCTATAGTATAAACTCATGTTCGGGTGTTAGGACTCATAATGCTGACTCTTTCCCGGCTCTAAGGACTCACCCCTCTCCCCCAGGTACCCTCACTGCCTGCACATGCTGGAGCTGCTGCAGTACGAGCACTTCAGGAAGGAGCTGGTGAACGCTCAGTGCACCAAGTTCATCGACGAGCAGCAGCTGCTCCACTGGCAGCATTACAGCAGGAAGCGCTCCAGACTGCAGCAGGCGCTCGCTGAGCAGCAGCAGCATGTAGCCACGCATGCTAACACGTCCGCGAAGTGAGGAGGAGGAGGAGGAGGAGGAGATAGTGGGACAATACTATTCTTTTGTTGGGCTTTTTGCCGATTCATGTACTTCTTTTTACATTCACTGAAAATAAAACAAAGCAAATAAACACGTCTTGGATCCAGAAGCAGATTGTCTTTATTTTTGTTTCATAAAATGTGTGTTTTTATATCCACATTGTTTCTGAAGCTGCGACGTGTTTCTCCTGATGAAAGAGGTTTGAAGAGTGTTGGCACCCGTAGGCCACCGTACTTTAGTAAATGCAAAAAGACCCGTGAAAAAAACGCATTTGAAAACAGAAGAAAAAAGACATTACACGAAGAGACCGTGGAGGAGAGGACAATATTTAAATTTCATTTTTTGCTCCAACATGTAATTCTGTTTTCATTCACTGAAAATAAAACAAAGCAAATAAACACGTCTTTAATCCAGAAGTAGATTGTCTTTATTTTTGTTTTATAAAATGTGTGTGTTTTGTTTTGTGTTTCTGTATCTGCATGGTTTCTGAAGCTTCAGCGTGTTTCTCCTGATGGAAGTGTTTTGGGCCGTTTAGCGTTGGCACCTGTCGACCACCGTACCACCGTAACTTAAAAAATAACACATTTCACAGGAAGAGGAGGAGGACTGTTCGCCAACGTGATACTGGAGTTATGAGGACATTGTTCTGCCCAAACATGTGTGGAATCCAAAAGCTGTTTTTCTTTGTAATGATAACTTATAATTATAAAGCTGAACAACTGTCTCAGAGTTATTCTCTCTCATAACTGTAAGAGTTAGTCAGTATATCTGAAATGACTAGGTTAGCTACGTTAGCTAGCTAGCTTACAGCAGATCTGCAGTGACATCGGATATCACAAAGGTATTAAGTACAGTGCATCCGGAAAGTATTCATACCCCTTCACTTTTTTCAAATGTTATGTTACCGCCTTGTTTCTAAATTCATTAAATTCATTTTGTTTCTCAACATTCCACACACAATACTCCATAATGACAAAGTGAAACTTTTTAAATAATTGTTTGCAAACGTGTTGAAAATAATCAAATGAAATATCACATGTATTCACACCCTTTGCTATGACACTGAACATTGAGCTCAAGTGCATCCCGTTTCTACTGATCATCCTTGAGATGTTTCTATAACTTGACTGGAGTCCTCCTGTGGTAAATTCAATATATCTGACATGACCTGGATCTATATGAGTTCCCACAGTTGACTGTGCACATCAGAGCACAAACCAAGTCATGGGTTGTGCTCTTGTCTCAGACTGGGGCAAAGGTTCACCTTCCAACAAGACAGCGACCCTAAGCACACAGCCAAGATAACAAAGGAGGGATTTCAGAACAAGTCTGTGAATGTCCTTGAGTGGTCCGGCCAGAGCCCGGAGCCCAGAGCCCAGAGCCCAGCCAAAGCCCAGAGCCCGGACAGAGCCCAGAGCCCAGCCAAAGCCCGGACAGAGCCCAGAGCCCAGCCAAAGCCCGGACAGAGCCCAGCCAGAGCCCAGAGCCCAGAGCCCAGAGCCCAGAGCCCAGCCAAAGCCCGGACAGAGCCCAGAGCCCAGAGCCCAGAGCCCAGAGCCCAGAGCCCAGCCAAAGCCCGGACAGAGCCCAGAGCCCGGACAGAGCCCAGAGCCCAGAGCCCAGAGCCCAGAGCCCAGAGCCCAGAGCCCAGAGCCCAGCCAAAGCCCAGACAGAGCCCAGAGCCCAGCCAGAGCCCAAACTTTACCCTGATTTAATATCTCTGGAGAGATCTGAAGATGGCTGTGCACCGATGCTCCCCATCCAACCTGATGGAGCCTGAGACGATCTGCAAAGAAGAATGGGAGAAACTGCCAAGCGTGTAGCGTCATACTCAAGAAGACTCGAGGCTGTAATGGCTGCCAAAGGTGCTTCAACAACGTATTGAGTAAAGGGTGTGAATACTTATGTTCATGTGATATTTGAGTGTTTTGTTTTTTTTGTTCATTTGCAAATATTCTTTTAAAACTTTTGCCACTTTGTCATTACGGGGTGTTGTGTCTCGAATGTTGAGAAAACAAATTTATTTAATCCATTTTGAAATAAGGCTGTAACATAACACAATGTGGGAAAAGTGAAGGGGTATGAATACTTTCTGAATGCACTGTACGTGTAGTGGAGTACAGGTACACCATGTACCTCTGAACTGTACATGTAGTGGAGTATAAGTCCACCGTGTACCTCTGAACTGTAGAGGAGTATAAGT